GTAGACGTGTCTTAGACCTGTGGCACTCTCCTTTTCACATTTTTTAAGACTACCCTGGGGACCCCTAAGGATACCATGGTTGACAGAGAGCTGCCTATATACATATATATTTTGGGGGTTATAGATCTGTTGCACTTTGGATCCAGTGTTCCACCAACAAATCCTATCATTGATTTTTGTTTCTTGTCATCAGACATTGGTCATCGTTTGGGACTCCTATCAAGAAGTTAATGGTGGACTGCAGTGTCGTTCTAACTCCCCTACAACCCCGAAACGCGAATAAGAGCAACATCATGAAGCGCGCTCGCCCCCATCGGCCTACACGGCTGTCGAAGACCCCAAGGGGAAGGAGAACTTTATGGCCTCTCCTGTGAAGTCCAGCGTGGCCAGGAAGCTTGTTGTCTCTCCTCCAGCAGAGGAGGATTCGGAGAATGACGCCTACGCCTTTCCACCGCTCAAGTCACCCACCTCTGCTCAGAAGGGCCGTGATGCCAGCAAAGTCTTTCTATAAAAAAGGTGCTTTGTACGTGAGCCCGATGGAGAGAAAACTGATTAAGGAAACCAAGTCCAAGGGTGGTGTGGTCTCCTCGTCTTCAGCCAGGAATGTAACGAAGAGTCCAAAGGTGAAAGAGTCTTCAAAGTTCACAAAAACCAAAAAGCCGCCAAGTCTTAAAAAGAAGGCTCCTAGTCGAGGTGTCTCATCTCCCAAAATGGAGAAGAAGGTAGAGGCAAAGGAGACCACCTCACCAGTGACCACAGAGATCTGTGCCCCCAGTCCCCAGAAGACCGCCATCTTGGGATTAAAAGTGAAACCGAGGCCCAAGCTCACGGTGGGAGCTGCATTTTTCGCTACCAGTAAAAGGCCTCATTCATCACGCAAACTCCCCGCTCACATCACGTTCCCTGCATCCTCCAAGACAAAACCCTTACAGCAGAGCAGTGCTCAAAGCACGGCTCCTGGTCCGCTTCCCAGTTCTGGCGAGAAGGTGAGCAAGAACGCTGGTTTGGAGAGAATGTCGAGCAAAGAGGAGAAGAGAGATGAAAATATCAAAAACTAGTGAACCAAAGGGCGGGAAACCTAAGAGCGGAGCCATCCAGCTTCCTCCACAACCAAAAGTCACAAAACCATCCGAACCTTCCAGAGAGAATGACATCCAGTCACAGGTATGGTTTGAAGTGGCTTTTTGTTGGTTTTGCGATTTGCAATCTGGTGCCTAATGTGTTTTGGTCAATTATGGTTTGTTTCTACAATTGGGTTAAAAAGGTTGGGCGACCATCGGGTGGCTGATGGTCAAACCAGGTGGGTATAATCGTGCCTTATACGTCCCGAATCAGAGATCGGAATATGTGTGGAGTAATTATGGACTTTCTAGGCACATAAACACGGTACCCAAAACATATAAAAAAAACATATATTGCTTTTATTCATATATATCATCTAAAAAATGTACATTAAACGATGATAGTCAGCCCACTTCCTTCAAAATATGGGGGGTTCCACTGTTACATTTTGGCCAACATGTTTCTAGACTGGAGTTGCTACTTCAGGGGCTTGGAATGCATCTGTGAGATAAACAAACTTACAGGTAATCACAAAGGATAACAATAGACATATATATACTAGGGATGCACCGAAATTCCGCTGGCCGAAACGTTTTGGCCCAAAACATCCCTTTCGGCTGTTGGCTGAAATTAAAAAAGCACCGATACAGGTGCCGAAAAAAACCCCGCCCCTCAAAGCTGCTCGGTAGTAAAGTCTTACTTGAGAAACCATCGATCCCGGCACCGGGCATAGAGATGGGTGAAGGAAAGATGGCCGCCACACATCTCTTTACCCTTGGAGGACTGGAGCGATGTCACTTCCGGTTCTGGTCAATTATTATTATTTTATTTATTTTTTTCTTTTTAAATCAATGCTTTTTTGATCTAATGCTTTACATTACAAAGAAGAGATTTGGGGTCTTATTGACTCCATAAAGAGGACCTGTCACTAATTATTTCTTTCACAAGGGATGCATGCATTTCTTGTGATAAGAATAATAGTGATTAATGTGGTTTTTTTTTTTTTTTTTCACTGTTCCTTTTCCCCTGTCCCCCCTTGTGCATGTAGTGGTGAACGCATACGTAGGCCATGCCCACATATGTAAATGGTGTTCAAACCACACACGTGTGATATCACCATGAACGTTGAAGCAAGAGCAATAATTCTCACACTAGACCTCCTCTGTAACTTTACACTGCTAACCTGTAGAAATTTTTAAAGCATCACCCATGGAGCTTTTTAGGTACCGCAGTTTCATGTCCTTCCTTGAGCGTACGCAATTTTAAAGCATGACATGTTGGGTATCTAGTTACTCACAAGTCCATGGAGATTTTTAGGTACCGCAGTTTCATGCCATTCCACGAGCGGGCACAATTTTAAAGCATGACATGTTTGGTATCTATTTACTCGCAAGTCCATCGTTGGGACTGAGGCACTACATGGCTCCCAAGGAGAATGACAGGCGCATGGTGTAGCAATCCATGTATGTAGTATGAAGTTCCAAATGGGCAGGGATAGTCCAGTAGGCACTGAGGGCAAGCTGTGATGGAGCAAAGCGTAACTGCAGGAAGGAAGGTTTAATCCTACCGACGTTGGGACCTTTTCTACAGTCCGGCCCCCTTTAAAGTCTGAAGGACAGTAAACTGGCCCTTTGTTTATAAAGTTTGGGCACCCCTGCTCTAGATAATAGATGTGTTATGATTGGCTGTGTGATGCACATGCAAATAGTCATTCAATTTAATCAGAAACCACTGAGTGAAATTCCACCACAACCGATCAGCGTGCTAGTGTTGAAGTTGATCCAATGGAAGGTCTCTAGTTGGAGGAGATTTGCTAAAACCGGTGAGTGCATAATCTGGTGCAGCTGTGCATGGTAACCAATTAGCGTCTGACTTGGCTCATTCAGATAACTTGACAAAATCTGAAAGCTGATTGGTTTCTTTGCAGAGCTGCACCAGATGTTGCACTCTCCAGTTTTAGTAAATCCCCCCCATTGTGTAATTATTTATTATGATCAGTTTCGTCACATCGAATAACCGAGTACGTGTGTGGCCTCCTTTAGGGCTCGTTTATGCCATCGTTGATCTCTGAAGAGCAATCAATGTTCGAATCGCTCTTCAATGAGCAATGAGGTGTTGTATCACTTGTGTTAACTCTTTAGGTGTGACACTGCCACGCTGCAACCATGTACGTTGTGCGAGGTAATGGGGCAGTTGCACTGGGGGTGCCCATTCCACTTGAATGGATTGTTTGGTGGGCGGTAGTGCCCACCAAATGTGACATAGGTACACCCCACAGATGCTGCCTTCCCAGCTAACGGTGGGGGGGATCAGTTGAGGCGCATGGCTTAACCACCCTGCCCCCCTTAAAGTGGTTGTACAGGCAGAAGGTTTTCTACTTTACTGCATTCTATGCATGAACGTGAAAAAACCTGCCGGTAATCAGCATCCCTCAGAGGGACATGTACACAGATCATCTGAGCACTGATGATCAGTGTGCCCTGATAATTTGTGTAGCCCCAGCAGTGCCACCTGTCAGTGTCCATCAGTGCTCATCCATGCCACCTGCCAGTGCCACATATCAGTGCCCATCTGAGCTGCCTTTGAGTGTCACCCATCAGTGCCACCTATCGGTGCTGCCAGTCAGTGCCACCTATCAGTGTGCATCAGTGCCACCTATCAGTGTCCGTCTGAGCTGCCTATCGGTGCCATATATGAGTGCTGCCTTTCAGTGCCCATCAGTGATGCCTGTCAATGCCCATCAGTGCCACCTACCAGTGCCTCCTCATCGCCACCTGTCAGTGTCCATCAGTGCAGCCTCATTAGCGCACATCAGTGAAGGATAAAAATAACTTATTTACAAAATTTTATAACAAACACTAAGAAAACATTTTTTTTTTTCAAAATTTTCAGTGGTTTTTGGTTTGTTAAAGAAAAAATAAAAATCTCAGAGGGATTAAATACCACCAAAATAAAGCTCTCTCTGTCACAAAAAAATGAAAAAAAGTTCATATGGGTACAGTGTTGCATGACCGCGCAATTGTCATTCAAAGTGCAACAGCACTGAAAGCTGAAACTTGGCCTGGGCAGGAAGGGGGTATAAGTGCCCGGTAGGCGAGGGGTTAACTAGTCTGAGTATCATTGAATCTACAAGAGGACTGATGCTGGGCAGCAGAGCAGTGGGAGCTTTTTTTTTTTTCATTTTGTGAACAGTGTAGTTGCGCTTTAAAATCCATCCCAAACTTTTTTCTTTTTTTTAAATTTTGAATAGATCAGAGAAGGGTTAGAACCTCTTGTGGGGCTTTATTGCTTTTCTTGGCTCCAGTAATTGGGTTTTTTGTGCTGTGAACCCCCCCCCCCTTTTTTTTTTTTTTTTTTTTATACTGCCACCTCAGGAGGATTGAACATTAGCTGATGGGAAAAAAAATCTGTAGGCCAGCCCAGGATTACAACCTCCTACTCCCCAGCATGTCTCAGTTTTGCAGCCAAGCATGTTCATAACTACAGAGAGGGGCAGTGAGTACAGTATTATGTTTTCTGATGTCCGCTGTCTTCTCTCCCCTCCACTCGCCGGCATCTGCTATGTTGGTTCCGGGCCCGCAGATGGGCAAGCGGAGCTGGACTACATGGCAGGGGGGGTAAGTTACCGGGGGCTGTGGAAGCAATCTGACGAGCCACCCGATTACTTCTATCCGGCAGGCAGGGGTTTGCCTGTCCGTTTTAGACACAATCCCGATGTACAGACCTGGCAGCAAAGGGGTTAAGAAGTTGTTATGTAGAGCTAAAAGAGCTGATACCCAGCAGGGGTTGCCATATAAATATATTGGGGTTGATTTATTAAAACTGCATGGTGCAAAATCTGGTGCAACTCTGTAGAGAAACCAACCTGCTTCCAGGTTTTATTGGCAAAGGTTATAGTGTTCCTAAACCCCGGACCCTGCATTCACTATTTTTGGTCTCCCGGACCCTGCATTCATTATATCCGGTCTCCCCAGACCCTGCATTCACTATATCTGGTCTCCCCAGACCTGCATTCACTATATCTGGTCTCCCGGACCCTGCATTCACTATATCCGCTCTCCCGGACCCTGCATTCGCTATATCCGCTCTCCCCGGACCCTGCATTCGCTATATCCGCTCTCCCCGGACCCTGCATTCGCTATATCCGCTCTCCCCGGACCCTGCATTCGCTATATCCGCTCTCCCCGGACCCTGCATTCGCTATATCCGCTCTCTCCCCGGACCCTGCATTCGCTATATCCGCTCTCCCCGGACCCTGCATTCGCTATATCCGCTCTCCCCCGGACCCTGCATTCGCTATATCCGCTCTCCCCGGACCCTGCATTCACCCAAGGAAAAAAAAAACTTCTCTAGCAATGCACACCAAACTGAGCAAGTGCAGAGTGACTCCGCGCGATATGTTTTATCAGGAGATAAGAGGGGGGCACTGGAAGAAGGGGAGGATCAGAAAAGTCAGGATCAAACAGCCTTTTTACACAATGCAGAGGATTAACCCCTTAGGTGCCACAGTGAGTGTAACAAGCATGCTTTACTGCATATACAGACTGATTGTACTCGTGTGGGTTTAGGAACACTTTTAACTGAACAAGTTGACGTTAGAAGCTGATTGGCCACCATGCACAGCTGCAGAAGATTCTGAGTGCTCCAGTTTAGTAAATCTCCCCCATTGTACAGCAAGAGGGGTTTCCGTGAGAAATAATTAGGATTTGTTTTCTGGAGTGACAAGGTGGGGTCTTCATGTAATTGGAAAGGATTAGAATTAGTATTCCTTTCCCGCCTGGATGAGCAAACAGGTAAAGTATAATTAAAGGCATTTTTTTTTTCGTTTTGGATAGCGTATGGAGGGATTAGAACCTCTGTCAGTTTTTATTGTTGTCTGGGCCCCCATTAGGAAGATTCGCCGTCTATATTTGTCCTGTTTACCGTTATCATTGAAAGTGAAAGAAAATTCCAAATTTTGGGTTGTCCCCATAAAATAATTAATAGAGAGGACATTTTTCCAATGGGGACACTAGTTCTGGTGACCTGGGAGTTCCCATTAACCACTTGCCGACCACAGATAGCCGAGTGACGGCTTCACTGCAGCCGGCCAGTTCTGGGAGGGCGTCCTATGATAACCTCCCAGAACGTGCCCTCCCGCGCACCCCCGGCAATTTCCGTGATCGCTGTGTCCTACGGACTTGATGTAGTAAAAGGCCAATCATAGTGACCTTGTACCGCGTGATCAGCCGTGTCCAATGACAGAGCAGATAACCGGTAAATGCAGTTGCTGGTTATCTGCTGTACTTTCCTCACACTGTCACAGCTTGAGGAAAGTACTGCCGATAACCGACAGTTGTCAGAGGAGGAGGGATCGGCACTGATCATCAGGGCATTGATGATTGGTGCCAAGTTGTGCCACCAGTCAGTGCCCATCAGTGTTGCATATAAGTGGCAGCTCATCAATGCTGCCCGTCAATGCTGCCTATCAGTGCCCGCCAATGCTGCCTATCAGTGCCCGCCAATGCTGCCTATCAGTGCCCGCCAATGCTGCCTATCAGTGCCCGCCAATGCTGCCTATCAGTGCCCGCCAATGCTGCCTATCAGTGCCCGCCAATGCTGCCTATCAGTGCCCGCCAATGCTGCCTATCAGTGCCCGCCAATGCTGCCTATCAGTGCCCGCCAATGCTGCCTATCAGTGCCAGCTCATCAATGCTGCCTATCAGTGCCAGCTCATCAATGCTGCCTATCAGTGCCAGCTCATCAATGCTGCCTATCAGTGCCAGCTCGCCAATGCTGCCTATCGGCGCCAGCTCGCCAATGCTGCCTATCGGCGCCAGCTCGCCAATGCTGCCTATCGGCGCCAGCTCGCCAATGCTGCCTATCGGCGCCCGCCAATGCTGCCTATCGGCGCCCGCCAATGCTGCCTATCGGCGCCCGCCAATGCTGCCTATCGGCGCCCGCCAATGCTGCCTATCGGCGCCCGCCAATGCTGCCTATCGGCGCCCGTCAATGCTGCCTATAAGTGGCAGCTCATCAATGCTGCCTATCAGTGCAGCCTCATCAACACATATCAGTGAAGGAGAAAAATTACCTGTTTGCAAAATTTTATAATAGAAACAAAGAAAAAAAAATTGTTTTTTCTCAAAAATTTTTTTCTTTTTTTTTTTATAGCACAAAAAATAAAACACCCAGCGGCAAGTAAATACCACAAAAGAAAGCTCTATTTGTCTGAAAAAAGATAAAAATGTCATATGGGTACAGTGTTGCATGACAGCGCTGAAAGCTGGAAATTGGCCTGGGCAGGAAGGGGGTATACGTGCCCTGTAGTCAAATGGTTAATTTTCAGGAATTTCCTCCCACTTGTTTTGGTTGTGGAGCAGGGAATGAAGGGAAATCTCTGCAATGGGACGCAGCGGAAAAATAAGAAAAAAAAACGTCTTACAGGCCTTCTAACCCTCTAACACTATCTGAATTGAAGTTTTTTTTTTTGCAGTTCTGCTTTAATGACAAATAACGTGTACCTTTTGCCACTTACATATATGGAGAGCGCTGCTGCCATGGTGTGGACCCGTGTGTATGTGCTGCTCACTCATATCTGTGTTGTTTTGCAGGAAGATGAAAGTCAACCTCACAGTATGTTTGATATGGACGACTGCATCCTGAAATCATCAGACAAGAAAGGTGGTAGATATAGCTAATTATTTACACATAGAGTATATGCTGACATCGTATGAATAAATGTATCTTTTAGTTTGATCGATTTAACTTTTTAAATCTTATTTTTAAGTTTTAAACTTATTTTTTTTTGTATTTTCTATTTTAGCGTCCTCCGTTTATCCCGATCTTCAGTACACCATCTGCAGCAAAGAAAAGGTCTGTGTGTACAGCTGGTAGTTCCGGGGACAAGGGCAGATTTTATAGGGGAGCCTCCTGATATGTGGAGCTTTTTTTCCTGTGGTTTTTTGTTTTTTTTTTTTTTCTTTTGAAAGTGCCAACATGGACACCATTATAAGAAGGCACGTTGGGGGGACATTTACTAAAACTGGCGCGCTCAGAATCTAGAGAAGCTGTGAATGGTAGCCAATCGGTTTCTAACCTCAGCTTGTTCAATTAAAGTGATTCTAAAAGCTCAAGGTTTTTAACCTTCATCCATTCTATGCATGAAGGTAAAAAAACCTTGTGTGCAGCATCCCCCCCAAGCCCTTTCTAATACTCAGCCAAGCCCCCTCTAATACTCAGCCAAGCCCCCCTCTAATACTCAGCCAAGCCCCCTCTAATACTCAGCCAAGCCCCCTCTAATACTCAGCCAAGCCCCCTCTAATTACTCAGCCAAGCCCCCTCTAATACTCAGCCAAGCCCCCTCTAATACTCAGCCAAGCCCCCTCTAATACTCAGCCAAGCCCCCCTCTAATACTCAGCCAAGCCCCCCTCTAATACTCAGCCAAGCCCCCCTCTAATACTCAGCCAAGCCCCCCTCTAATACTCTGCCAAGCCCCCCTCTAATACTCTGCCAAGCCCCCCTCTAATACTCTGCCAAGCCCCCCTCTAATACTCTGCCAAGCCCCCTCCTCTGCCAATACTCTCAGCCAAGCCCCCCTCTGATACTCTGCCAAGCCCCCCTCTGATACTCTGCCAAGCCCCCCTCTGATACTCTGCCAAGCCCCCCTCTGATACTCTGCCAAGCCCCCCCTCTGATACTCTGCCAAGCCCCCCTCTGATACTCTGCCAAGCCCCCCTCTGATACTCTGCCAAGACCCCCCCCCCCCCCCTGATACTCTGCCAACCCCCACTCCCCCCCCCCCTGATACTCTGCCAAGCCCCCCCCCCCCTGATACTCTGCCAAGCCCCCCCCCCCCTGATACTCTGCCAAGCCCCCCCCCCGATACTCTGCCAAGCCCCCCCCCCCGATACTCTGCCAAGTCCCCCCCCCCCCGATACTCTGCCAAGCCCCCCCCCCCCCGATACTCTGCCAAGCCCCCCCCCCCCGATACTCTGCCAAGCCCCCCCCCCCCTGATACTCTGCCAAGCCCCCCCCCGATACTCTGCCAAGCCCCCCCCCCCCCCGATACTCTGCCAAGCCCCCCCCCCCCGATACTCTGCCAAGCCCCCCCCCCGATACTCTGCCAAGCCCCCCCCCCCCCGATACTCTGCCAAGCCCCCCCCCCCCCCCGATACTCTGCCAAGCCCCCCCCCCCGATACTCTGCCAAGCCCCCCCCCCCCCCCGATACTCAGCCAAGCCCCCTCTCGATCCAGCGATGTGCACTGGAGTCTCAGCTGTCCTGGAACTCCCTCTTCTCATTGGCTGAGACAGAAGCGGGAGCCATTGGCTCCCACTGCTGTCGATCACAGCCAGTGAGCCAATGAGGAAGGGGTGGGGCTGAGCTGCAGTTCCGTGTGTGAATGGAAACACGGAGCAGCGGGTGGCCTGTAGCAAGTTGCTTGCTGTGGGGGCACCTGACAGGAGAGAGGGGCCAGAAGCGTCAGCGGGGGACCCAAGAAAAGGAGGATCCGGGCTGCTCTGTACAAAACCACTGCACACAGCAGGTAGGTATAGACATGTTTGTTATTTTTTCTTTAAATAAACCTTTAGAATCACTTTAGGCTTTGGCAATAAAACCCAGAAGCTGATTGTTTTCTATGCAGAGCTGCTCCAGATTTTGCACTCTCCAGTTTTAGTAAATCGGCCCCATTGTTTTGTAATGCCACCCACATGTTGTACAACAGTGTTTTACTCTGATTGTAATTTGTAATTCTTGGTCCTGGTTGTAGGGGAGCCCTCACTGTCCTGCACAAGGGAGGACTACCGGCTCTGCATTGTATGCAATCACGTAAGAGTGACTGCCAACCAGAACATGGAAGAGAAGAGACTTCACGGGACTGGTCACATGGCATGGAGGATGCAGATAAGGTTTAGGGGGGCAGGCTTTTTAATATGGAGCCAAGCTCACGGGGACATGACCTCAGACTAGCAAGAAAAGCTCAAAACCCTTCCATAGAAAGTATTTTACTGAAAGGAGTAGTCGAGCCTAGGAATAGACTTCCAGCAGAGGTAGTGAGTTAGTCAGCAGTGAGCGGATGAAAACATGCTTGGGACAAGCAGAGATCTATACTCAGACGAAGGTTAGAAATACAGGGTGTGGCAACATAACTTCCTTTTTTCAAAATGCAGTAAAACCCATTTTATGAATCAGAATTGTTTTTATTGTCTTTAATAATGTAGGTACATATCTAAAGTTCTGTTTTACACAGTTTTGAAAATCATATCAGGTAGGTGACGCCCCCCATTGT